TTAACAGATTTTGTACGTTATAAGTAGATAAATATGGTTCTTATTACAATTTTAAAATTTACTCTTTATTCAAATTCTGACTGGCCATAAAATAATATCCAATCACAGCGCTTCATTTAATTTACTGATACTTAGTATCGGAATAAAATTAAGATTGACTTATTACAGAGACTCAGACTAATTACCTAAACTAAAGACCTTGAAAGACTGATTATTATACATATAAACCCTACATTCCAATTGCCCTATCTATTAAAAAAACTGCATCAAAATCCGTTGCGAAGTTTTAAAGATTTAAGCATACATAAGGATTTAGGGATACAGGAACTGAGAAAGCGACTTTGTTTTAGTCTATACCTATATATTAATATCAATGGAAATATACACTTGGTAAGCATTGATTTACTGCGTTGGCAAACATTGATTACTGTCTCTGTAATAAGTCGATCTTTATTTTGTAAACAAATAATTTTACAGATATTCAAAATGTTTAGAATCTAATTAATTATAATGAAACCTAAAAACAAACACTTTAAATGTAGTGCTATTTACATAACACTTTTATATTACTTTTATTATCTAAGTGCCAAAAATAACATACAATTTAACGAAACTAAAATAATTAGTGTATTTTTCTCACTTTTCATTAAAATCGATATATAAACTTAAGTACTAAATTAATAATGGTGTTAGCAATTATTATTGTATTATAAAAGCATTTTTTTAAGAAGTAACGCTATGTGCATGTATTTTTTTTTATAAAATTGTTCTCCGTTTGTTTATAACTAAAATGAAAAGGATGTCGTAACCTTTTTCCTGCAATAAATTGATTAGGATTTAAATAAATGCCTTAACGCAGTGTCGCAACTAAAATAAGATATTGAAACGTATTAATTTAGAAAAAAATAAGCGTAATTCTATATTTAAATTCAGTTCTAAGCCTTTGAAACTCGAAATTTACAAGAAATGCTATTCAAAGAGCAAACTTATTAATTATGAAAAGTTAAACCTCAATCAATGTCAGCCATAATCGTCATAAAACGTCAGTTCTCTCAAGCAATCTGTTAATTAATTCAATTGTTCAATATTAAATTAAGAGGCATAAATCTGATGAAGACTTATTTGAATTTCGTAATAAAATAAAGATACTGTTAATTATGATGAATACTTGAGATGGATTAAACTCCAAAGAATCGTGTTCAATATTGCATAGACAACAATACAATTTTAATAAAAACCTCTTTCTAAATAAAGCCTTTGTAACTTTAAAAAGTAATTTGCTAAATTTGTTATTTTTATCACAACAATTAATAGATATTTTTAAATACAAATGATTAGGTTAATAAATTGTGCATTTTGATTTATAAACTATTTTATACAGATAATTATAAAATTCTAACAGTTAACCTTAAAACTAATATCATATTGCTTAACATTGACTCACATTAACATTTATTATAACACTGTATTCTCCCAAATCACACTCATACCTACTACATATCGATAATTTCATCAAAGGACATAATTAGATCACTATGCAAATACTTTTTTTATTATTCATTGACAATTTTCATGACATCTGTCACTTTTGACAGCTGTCAATATTTTAATCCGTCACCAGTATTTTTTATCCTTCTTTAATAATAAAAAATTAAAAGAAATTAATAAGATATCACATTGCAATATGTCCCTGTTTCATCATTGACATAATTATATACAAACGGTGTTCTTTTTTTTTTAAACATTTACCTAATAACTTAAACAAAAGAGTTTTTAATATTACTCATTCCTCCTACTTATAACTCAGTTCCATAGATAGTTACGTCAATGAAAACACACGTTTTACTACATATGTAAGTATATATAGAATATATAGACACTAAGAAAATTCATAAGATTTAACACATATGTACGAGTTCGTACGCTCTTAAACATTATGCTAAATCAACACTAACTTAAACTAAAGGGGACTAAGCTAACTCATGATCCAAATTTTGGTGTAGTTAACCCTATTTTACATCACTACACTAAAATTTAGCATAATATTAGGAGCGTTTTAGGTCACAGTAGAGTACTTAAAAGCCACACCGTTAGAGAGCGAAGAAGCGACTGAAAAAGGAATTCATCGTTTCGCTTTTGTTTATTACGAATTGTAAATATAAACTACATTAGTTAGGTATATAAACTCTACAAATCGTTCGAATCTACAATTTGGAATGAGCACCTAGCTTCACTGACGAACAGACTGACAGACTACTATTCTATTTTGACGTTTCATAAGTACCTATTTATGGTTTAGTTGGAATAAATCATTTTGACTTTGACTTAACAATTATCTTCTCCCGCCCGTCTCACTTGCATTTGGACTCATATTCATGATAGGGTTATATATATAGGTATTTTTTTAATTTGTACTAGAAGTTACTGGGATAAGAGCGTTCAAACAAATAAAACTTCGGGTATAAAATGTTATAACTAAAAAATAAGTGTCCTAAGTCTTACTTCTAAATGCCCAAGTTTTTTAATTGTCCCATCAATATTTTTTGAGGAAATTAATCTCTATTAAAATGACAGCTCAATTAAGCGATTTTCTGAATGTTCAACAGAGCGCTCGCAATGCCTTTGAAGTTACATGTGTACTTAGGCTACGGTGACCGCTTATCATGCGGGCTGTGCGCTTTGTACCAATTAATTAAAGTAAAATAGATGTGCTTTTTATTATTGCTATAATGCTAACTGGAACCTAGCTAAGTCTGCTAACTGCTACCGCGGGTGTGCGCTTGCGTTCCGCGCGCACCTCAAAGAGCAAAGAGCAAATAGACCACCACAGACGGGACCCTATGTGGCTGATGTTCAGCTGAGGTTGTGGGGCAAGCGCAATGACCCAGAGCAAAAGAAGGAACGGGGGGTTTTAGTCAATAAGAGTCTAATACTCTCTTTCTCGCGCCTTAACCTGGGCGGAAGAAGTCATTTGAAAAATTTCCCTTGACAAACAACGTTATTTAGGTGGAGGTCTAAAAATTTCGAGCGAGACTTAATGACTTGTTTCGGTGATCTCAATTTTGTCTTTCGACCTTGGCTGTCCTCTCTCTAGTCTATCCTTCACTCGCTGGCGGTGTGACCTCATACACAATAGAAGTTTAATACAATCTTATCCGACGAAAACTAAGATACCTTGATTAAAATACAAAATTGTGCCTTTAGGACCAATAAATCAAAACTTTAGTCTTACCTACACTACATTTAAGGACTGGGGCCCTTGCTTAGAATTATTAAATAAGGCTACGGGTCTAGATAATATTATCTAAAATTGGTATAAATCTAATAAATCACTTGATAACAAGAGCTTAACTTTTGTTACGTTGGGGTTAAACTAGGTGTTTAAATAAGTTTTCATTATTGCAGATTAGCTCTTAAGACGTTGATAATAGGTTCGTTAGTTCAATTATGTTTAAAATGAAGATTTGTCATAAAATATGGAAGACAAGACATGGAAAATTGGGATGAAACAAATTAGGCGTAACCCAAAATAGGAAAGAGCGGAAAAAATAAGGAGACGTAATCCAAACCGGTTGTTTAATATGATGATAATGAAAGATATAATATTAAGTTGTGAAAAAATCATATTTTCAAAATGACTTGTTATATTATGAAAAATATAAAGATATAGAATACAAATATTTTATAGGTATTTATAATCTTTGTATCTTCATAGTTTAAATCCTTTTTTGGGCAGTCGTGTAAAAATCCCCACCAGTTAGGCTCTTGTTATCTAGATTATAACTAATTACTAGCGGATTCTAGGGACCACTATGGCAGTATAAAAGGCAATGGAGAGATTACGAAAATACGAAAAATTCTTTTAAGTATGACATTTTTCGTACTTTTGCAAAATTCAAGGTCAACCCTTGTTGATCACGAAAAGGGTAATTAATAATTGATTTTAAATTAAAATATTTTTTTTTTAATTTAATATCTAGAGGTAATTTAAATTGATAAGCGTATTCCAGTAGTCGTTTGTGCAATAGTAAAGATATCATCAGTAAAAAATAAAGTCGTTCCAAAAATATCGGGTACTCTTATAACTATCTACAGTTCATATAATTATGTTTTTTCAAAGTTGGGAACGCTTCCATCGTCGCACCTGTAGAAGAGAAAATAGTTAGGTATATAAATAAAGCATTATTCAAACTTTCAAAAGCGTATGTGTTCCATTAAAAATGGCGACCAAGATCTTGTGACGACACTCGTTTTACAAGTGCTATGGACAGGGCTGATCGCTTACCATCATAATATATGACGATCGACGTAAACCCATGTTTTAAAAAAATATTCCCCTAACAAAATTTATATAATTTTAGTCTCTACATATATGAGTCAGAACTAGAGGGCGAATCCATTGCCATACAATATTCCTTAATCTAAATTGACTGTCATTTTCTAAATTGAAAAATAATATAAAAAACTTTCAGCAAATAAATCAAAATCATATTTTTTGAAAACATTACAAAATAGGTAGGTTGGAACATAATTACAATAGGTAATCAAAACAAAACAAATAGGTAATCAAAACAAAACAAATAGGTAAAATGTAGTTCTATTTTTGAAAAAATCGAGTTAAAACTGTGCCGCTTACGTAGTAGACGAATAAGGCAAAATAAAAAAGGTCGGCCAAGATTTGCATAACGTCAAAACATTTTGACGTTTAACCTCGTTATTATTTACCTACTTCAAACGTAAACAGATTGAGACTATTTGTCGCAGAAGTAAGTAGAGAATGCAAAAACATTACTAGCGAAGCTATCTAAAAAATGTTTGCCTGGGTATTGGATCATGTAATGAAAATTATATTCCTAGCTTAAAATTTTCACCACATATTTAGAAGTCTCCGAGCCTAGAAAATCAGCCCTAGAGATCCGTTATTGTACAATCTAATAGTTATAAATAATGCTAATTTAGAAGGATTCAAATATAAGAGAACTTACCCGTGACATCAACTGTTAGAATTGACTCTGCGTTGGCGTCCCGTCAAATGACTCCTCATTGATAAGGCGCAGCTTCACCGACTCCCGTCGAAGGTTATAGCTAGTGGAAATATGACAATGTTTCACGTCGACGTTCAATAAATCTTCGTTCAATTCCACTCCACTTTTTTCTACGTCCGCCGCCGCACTAGGCTTCCTTTTATGTCTAAAGGAAGTCGCCCGCTGGGAACTAGAGCCCAAGTAACTATCAGTCGTCGTATTTCCATTAAAAGTTTTCTCAGACGGACCAACTCCCAACTGGTCCAAGGGAATGTTCCCTCTCAAGTTTGCAGATGAATCAATGCAAGGTATCAGTTGCTTGAACTCCTTTCGGAAATTTTCATTCATCCACGCGTAAATGAAAGGATTGTAGCAAGTCGATGACATTGCAATAACGTGCCCAATAAAGAATATCAAGTAGTAATACTTCAAATGTATAGCGTACATGTAATAGTCATTGCACAAGTTGATCACGTTCAGAGGTAACCACGACAATCCGAATATAGTGACCATTGCTATCAACATTTGGTTCGTACGTCGCTTCCTATTTTTATCAAGTTCCTCTTTGCGAGAGTTTTTGCTGGCGGCCTTCGCTTTGGCTCTGTCATTCAATTTAAAACTGACGCACGTGTAACAGAAAGCAATCACAATAAAGGGCAATACGAATTGTAGCACAGATGTTACTGAGCCAAACACACGCCGCAAGCGCTCCGAGGGCCAGGTCTCTTCACAAAATCTGCCTATTTGTAAATCGTAGTACGTCATGAAAATTGCGTACGGCATTGTTACAGTGACAGAGAAAGTCCAAATCATGACAATGACGATCAGACAAGTCTCAATCTTCATCCGCGGTCTGAACGGATAAATAATTACAAAGAATCTATCGATAGCTATAGACATAAGCGTCAACGTGGATATGTATACGCTGCATCCCTGTGCGAAAGGCATTATGTGACATAGGAGGGATCCCCAGCTCCAGGCACCGCGGAAAGTGTACAGCGGTGTGAAGGGGACGGCGAAAATACAGAGCAGAATGTCGGAGAGTGCCAAGTTACTGATGAAGAGGTTGGTGACAGTCTGCATGGCTTTGTTCCTGGCGACGACGAAGCAAACGAGGATGTTCCCAAGTAGTCCAAGGACGAAGATCACGGTGTATATGACACAGAAACTGGACTGGATCCATTTATTATCGATAATGTTCAACTCATGAGTCTCGTTATGAGACTTTTCGGTATTAGCAAGTTCTGTATAATTTAGAATGCTATCGTTCATCGTACCGTGTTTCCTTCGGTTGTAAATTGCGAATACCAATTTATTTTGGCTTTAAAACGTCTGAGTTTATAGCATCGACGCTCCGAATTTTATTTGTTGGAACCTGTAACAAAATAAAAGCTTTGTTTACATCTTTGTCTCAATAAGCACTGGGTACACTTACAATTAAAGATTTACGATAATCGACTTGAAACTGTTTGTTGATTTGTTTTTAATAGCGTCTTGTAAACTCTAAGGCTTTGTAATAAAATACTTTGAGCAAGTTTGATTAATGATTAACCGATTTTAGGTGAACGTGTTTCAGATATTCACAACGTTAGACTTATTAGAAAAAGTACCATTCTTTGAAAAATTATTACCTGAGATGACATGAAATACTCATGTTTAGTAAGTACTCAAATATGTGACAAAAAAGACATAAAAATCTAAGACCAAAATAACACTGAAAAAAAATGATTATACAAACTATTGAATCAGGCGTTACTGTGCGGAAGTCCATGACATTAAATACTATGAAAAATATCTAGTTTGAATTCCGCGACAAAAATCCATACTTGTTGCAAGATGCAATCCCACCCAATGCAATCATGCACATGCACATGCAGCAAAGGAGCCACTCCCCCGCCTACATGCATATGCACACGTGCAAAAAACGTAAAAACATGCCACGCAATCAAATCTATACTCGATACGTGTTTCGCCCCTCCACAGGGCATCTTCAAGAGCTGTTGACTCGAATTTGCAGCCGAGCGCTTGTCGAGTTTTGTCACGAAATTAAACTAGATATTTTTCATAACATTATTTACTATATTTTAACCCTTAGTACAAAGACAATATTTCCACCCTACGTTACACGAACTGAACAAAAAAAATCCCATAAAAATATAAGTCAAAATGTAATCACGTACGCCATTAGCAGTAGGTACTTGGAAAATGAAAGAAAAAATATAAACACAGCTTTTCTAATATTTAATTTGAATACGTTTGGAAGTTTCGAAGAAATCTTATAACATCTTGACAATGGTAGACTTTTAGAATTTACTTCGGAATATTTCATTGTTAAAATTTTGAAGTACCAAGGTAAGTACTTTACTTACTCACACTGGTACCTATGTTTACGTTGAAAGGTTTCTGGAAACTTCTATTACACGAGCACATCCACTATAGGAATGCTACCAAAAAACTAGCTGTAAAAACTCAACGACACAAAATAAATATTGTCATAAAATTTTGTCCTTTTTTTACATATATATATAGTTTACTAAAACCCTATGTAAAAATCATTCATGTTTGAATAGCAAATATACCGCAGATAATAAAGTTTGTTTTTTAGAAAAGTGTAGTTGTTTTTCTAGTTTTGAGCTTTTAACTTTTTTTTCCAGAAAAGGATTATTATAAAAACATCTAAAATGTACTTTGCTAAACTTGCTACTACTATACATATATACCTATATACTAGCTACCCGCTCCAAATTTGCACAGGTGCAATACTGATACTTAATTTTTCCACAATTTAGTAGTGTTGTATTATACACATAAATATTTTTCCTTCCTCTACAATTATTCTATACACTTATTAAACAAAACCGCATAAAAATCTATTGCATAGTCTTAAAGATTTAGCATACATAGGGGATAGAGAGAGCGACTTTGTTAATACACGAAGAGTTGTTCCGTGCAGGAATCGAAACCGAACAAAAATCACAATTAAATTAAGAAAAAATCTACACAAAGTTCTGTGTAGACTTTTCTTTTTTTCTTCGGTTTCGATTCCGATTTCGAAAGAAAAATTCTACACAGAACTCTGTGTAGATTTTTTCTTTTTTTTTCTTCGGTTTGATCCACAAATTGTTGTTCCGGGTTGGGTTGCCATGTGTAAGTACATTTCTATATTTGTTAACGCATCCACGACGCGGTAGAACATGCTAGAGTCAGGCAACGTTTCTTTGAAATAAAAAATAAATTAATAAAATAAAGCCTCTTTGTCAACCGACATTAAATTTTTTATCGAAATCTATTCAGTAGTTTTTACGTGAAGGAGTAACAAACACGCATTCCTTCATCCATAGGTACTTACGAACTTTCGCGTTTATCACTAACTATTATTTTAATCAACCACAAAAACAAAAGTAATCAATCTACAGAACAATGCACATAACATCAACGTACTATAATAGGGAAGCATTATACATTATGTACGCGGAACTGTGCGGCCTAAATGGAAGCAATTCCAAACACAATGCAGCGGTCAGCCAGCCTACTCCATGATAGACCGTCGCAATTCTGATCCAATGTTCTAAATTGGTTTCCGAGGCGGCACATTTTGCAGATAACAGCCGAGAAGATAGTATTTATTAGCTTATGTCATCATCATCATCATCATCCTTACAAAAGATTGGTTCGTCTTAATCACCACTCTTAGCAGAGATGTTGAAGATCGCTGTATTAAAGGATGTTTTTAGGGAGGAAAAAACATCAAATTACTTCACTCGCCCAAGGTAACGACACCTACAGGAAGTTTAGAGCTGGCGATATACAAGTATATTCTATCCTTTTTTTTGTCAGGGGAAAATCATCCAATGACTTCTCCCGCCCAGGGTTAGGCGAGAGAGAGTGTCAGACTCTTACTGACTAAAAACCCCCCCGTTCCTTCTCCTGCTCTGGGCCGAGGTCGCGGTGCCTCATTGCGCTTACCCCGCAGCCCAATCTATCCTAACGTCATCATACAGCTTCAGGCATCATTGACTTACGCTTAGTTAGAACTGTAATTGGATAGTTTCCAAGGTCAAAAATAAATTAACTAGACGTTTCAATACAATAAAATATTGAGCAATAGCTATACTTTTTTTGGATTCAGGTTAATTTAATTAATACATCTAATTAAGTAAGATTTCTTTATTATTTTCTTAAGCAAAGAAAATATTGACAACAGAGTGAAAAACAAAAACTACACGTCAAGCGACAGAAAAACAAGGGAGGTCCTATTATGGAATTTATAATGTAACACTTTTATTCATCGATCGATCGATCCACAAAGTTTTAGATATTTTGTAGCTAATTATTATGACGCAAAAATATTATGACATCATAGCACAGTTTTTCATAGAAAAGAATCGTTTTTGACATTTGGATAAAAGTATTGAATTTGACTAATTAGAAACTACGTTATATTAATTCCTACAGATCACAAAATAACACAGATAATTAAAAACGAATACAAATTTAATGATCATAAATATTTTAATGTGGTAAAGTTAAACTCACAATTTTTTTCACAAGCCTTTGAGGTAAGAAGTCGCTAGCAAGTTATGAATGCAAACTATTTTCATTTATATGAAACTTTTCAAAAAACTATTTCAAACTCATTTAGCAAACTTATACTACATAAGGTGAAGAGCACTTTTTAAAATAAGAAGTTCTCGTATTCCCATACATAACTTATTTTTCTTCGGTTTAGTGGTAGGTAAGTTGACATATGTATACTAAAAGTATACACATATAATATACTAGCTGACTAAAAATAAGGGTTGATCGTAGAAGGGTGAAAGTTGAGCATTGTATGTATTTTTGTATGTTGTACCATAAAAAAATAAAAATTGCCTAAAAAATAAAATTTAGGGCTGAACATTTAGGGGGATGAAAAATAGATGTTGGCCGATTCTTATAGATACCGGATAAGCACAAAACATTTCATCAAAATCGGTTAAGCCGGTTCGGAGGAGTATGGCAACGAAAACTGTGACTGAGTGTGAATTTTTTATATTAGATGTGCACCAGTTTAACCAATAATCATCACCAGCATACAAGTGTTACAAGCTGAACAAAGGCCTTTTCTCACTCGGAGAAGATTTGAGCATTAATACTCCGCTCAAGGCAAGCTGAAATTTCAAACTTATAATTTAGGATTATAAGTCTTCAAACCTCCCAATTTTTCAAATATATGTATGTTGGTGGTAATAAAAAGTAAAAAAATCTCACATTCGTATTGCCAAGAGAAGCGATACCTGAACCCCCAATCATTAATCTAGTAATCCTATGATTAATTTTAGAACTGCTAACACTAGCCCCAATTCCAAACTCAGGGCTATTATCGGAAACAAGCACCCAGCTTAAAACTACTTTACTCACGACCAACAAGACCAAATTATTCGCAAAAAAGAAGACTGGATACAAGATAATCCGTATAGTTTACTGGCCTACCTAATTGCTAATCCGGCCACAAATTGGCTGGTAGCCAAAAACCTCAGGCTTTCAAAGTGATAAGACTTAGTATATAGAAATGTATTTCGAGCAATTTGTGTTTCAGCCATTATTATAAGACGTTTGATTAATGATAATTTCTTACTGGTAATAAATCAATAAATACTCGATTGTTATATGGAAAGAAAAGGATGCAAGATTTGATATACTTTTAACCCTTTACTAACCCAAGAAAATCACATATTTAAGTGTATATTTTTCTGGAAAATCTCTCTTAAGAAGTTTATGGACGCAATCTTAGCCAGCGGTAAGCACGCTTTGTAAACAAAAATGGTTTGGTTAGTAAGACCAAAGAATTTCACAATAATCTCGATCTAAGTTGAAAATCGACCGAAAACAAATTCATAATAACAAAAATCGGTCCGATTGAACGAGATAGTCACTAATAAACTACTGAGAAGAATAGATGAAATTGATACTGCACAAAAAAATCGTACCTAACCTACACCGCTACAGATATACAGCCGAATACAGAATACGGCAGTTTCCAACTAGTCAAATTTAATACTTTTATCCAAATCTCAAAAACGATACTTTTCTAAGATTTGTATGAAAAACTGGGTTATGACGTCATAGTATTTTTGCATCAAATAGCTTACTTACTTCTTAATAATTAGCTACAAAATATCTAAAGCTTAGTGTATTGATCGATCGATGAATAAAAGTATAGTTATTTTTCAATAGTTTATTGTATTGAAACGTCGAATTAATTTATTTTTGCCGTAGGAAACTACCCAATT